TGAAGTAAATCCATTACACTCCCCCGTACACCCCCCCTTACACTCCCCCGTACACCCCCCCTTACACTCCCCCTTACACCCCCCCTTACACTCCCCCGTACACGAGGCTCTGATAGTCCGCCAGTCCGGACTTGGACTCTGGCAATACTTTCGTGCGGCTTTGCTTTTGCCTGTGTTTTCTCCTCCCCACCCATCCAGCCCTCCTCTCCCAACCCCCGGCCTTCCTACGTTTGTGCAGTACTTTGATGGTCGGCAGGACGGCAGTTGATTTCCTCTTCGTGTCTCTTGCACCCTATGCGCCCTGTGCACACCAATGGATATAGAATCCATCCCCTCCCTCCCTCCCGCCTCCTCGGCAGTTCATTTCTGGTTCCTTTGCATGTAACCCCCCCCTCTCCCAACCCTCGCGCCCCTCGTGCTGTCCAGGGCACTTTTGGCGAGCTGCCCACCGCCGCTGCCGACCAGCTTGGTGTGGTCCGCGCCTGTGCCTACCACTTGCTCAACATGATCAACCAGCTGAGGGACTGCATGCGGATGCTGCACGGGGGAGAACCGGACGGGAACTGCGGCAGAGTGCAGCTGTCTAATGCGATTGAGGAGGTGCGGTACCACTACCACTACTACCACCAGTATATATAATTATCTGCTGGATCACCGGCCGCATCAATTCCACTCCTGGTCCATCAACACCTTTCACCGGGATAGGGCGGTGCATCCATCCAACCTCTTGCGGTCACGACATTTTTTTATCCCGCGCTTTGTCGGGATCGAACCTGGATCGTTCGAACCATAAAAACATTTGAGCCGTACTTGTGTGCATATGGGTATGGAGAATAATATTGAGTATTACTCTGGGCCGCGATGAGGGAAATGCCTATCATGTTGGTACATGAATAACTTTATATCGAAGCGAGCCTCGAATAGCCACCAGCGACGTGTTAGTAATATTTTCCTGCAGTCTGTAAATATATCCGTAGCTGGAATTTTAGGGTTTTTTCAAGTAATTTTCAAGTAATTTTTTGTTTGTGTCCACAGGTTCTGAAGCGCATGTCCCCTATGGTGGGCTCACGTCTCACAATCCGTACGGAACACGACCCCTCAGTCATCGTATATGCCGATGATAGCCGGTTGTACCAGACCGTGCATACCGTACTTGCTAACGCCTTCAAATACACCCGTAAAGGGGGTGTCACCATTGAGACGATCACCTCGCCCGACAAGTCGGCTGTGACGTTGCGGGTCACGGACACGGGTAGGCCTTGTGCGTGTGTTTTGTGTGTTTTGTGTGTTTTGTGTGTGCGGGGGTAATGGGGTGGAAGGTGAAGGGAAGTGAGGAGGGTGGACGGTGGTGGAAGTTATCAACTGAAAAGAACAGAACAGCAGCATATTGCGGCAAGAGCACCCGTGTGTTTTTATGTGTCTATTTCCTGCTGCTAAGCACCTGCTTTGGCGAGAGCAGTCAATGCAGTTTCCACATCTCCCTCTTTTTTTCCCTCCTTAACGAAGCTCATTCCCAAGCACCCTCCCCTTCACCCGCCCTTGTCCTCCACATCCTCCGCAGGCACCGGCTTCAACCCCGAACAGCTGGACAAGTTCAACAGCCCCCTCACCGGCAGCCCCGAGGAACAGCTGGGGCTGGGGCTGACCATGGTGAAGAGGACCATGGCCTACTTTGGAGGTACCTTGCGGCTAGGGAACAAATCAGGGGGCGGGTCGGGAGGCTGGGTGGAGCTCATGTTTAGAACCAGGGAGGAGGTCCCGAGGCTGGGGGCAGAGCTGCCGCAGCCACAGCAGCAGGCGGCGCCGGTGGCGGCGGCTCCCGCCAATCGCGAGCCGTCTAAGAAGATGCGCAAGAGCTTTATGGGAGGTGGTGTGGACGAGCGCCTGGCGGCGGCGAATTCGTCCAACGACCGAAGCACAGGTGGCGGAGCCGGCCGGGGACCGTCAAACTCATCTACGGCTGCAGCGGCGACGGCGGCGGGAGAGAGGGCATCTGGCACCGCGCCGTCTGTCCGCGGCGGCGGCGGCGGTGGTGGCGGAGGCGGCGCAGGCAGTACGGCACTGACTGGTGGCCTGAATGAGGATGCATTGACGGGCAAGGGTGATGAGCCCGTACGTGTTTTGATTGTGGATGATGATCCTGGTAGGTTATCGTGTTTTGCTCTTGACTCCCCCACCCCCACCCCAGCCCACTCTACCTCACTTACCCACCCACTGACCTACCTCATCCACCACATACATGTAACCACGTGCACGAGTGGGCCAGGCCACCGGGGCTAGGTTTTGACAATCTTAAAACACATTCTTCTCTCCCCTCTCCTTCCCCTTCCCATCCCCCCTGCCCCAGCTCCCCCTTTTTGGTCGTCGGACTCTTCCAGCAGCAGCAGCAGCAGCAGCAGCAGCAGTTCGTAACTTTAGACGTCGGCAGTTGTTCTTCTTCGTGGTATTGCTCCGTCCCCCTAGAAATTCCCCCCTCCCCTCGTTCGTGGTTCGTCTTTCCCCCCTCCCCTCCCCCAACCTTCCCCCCNCCTCCCCCGTCCCCC